TGAGGACCCTTGCTCAGATCAGGCAGGTGTTCTTCCTGGACTTCACGAGCCCAGCTCTGTCACAAGGCGAGAGTCAGAAATCCAAAACGGGAAGGTTTCCTGTCCCCTTGGCCCGGTCCTTAACTTCACCAGGAGAGACGAAGACACAGCCTTACAGTTTCCTCTCGGAGGCTTTAGTTTCAGAGATAGTCATTCCCCTCCCGGCGTCTGGCTGGGCAGGGGAGGCAGGTGATTGCGGCTTTCGAAAGGAAGCCTGCTTCTGGCGGCCAAGTCCGATTTACAGAGACCACAGGGCACTCTGGGGTGGGAGCTGATTCTTGGTGGTCCTGTGTGACCCCTTTTCATCATGCTGGGTGAGGTTGCCCCTTCCTCTGGTGAATTAGGCCTCTACAAGGGGAGTACGCCCTTCGCCATGGCCAAGGCCCCCGAGTCTCTCCCTCCGAGACATAGTCTTTTCCAACCAGGCACCTTGACTCCCTTGGGGACATTTCCCAGATTCCTTCTGTCTGTCTGTCCAGACCTTTCTCTGCGCCAGCTGAGGGAGGAAGGCCTTGCCTGAGCAGAAGGCCAGCTTGTGTCCTGCCCACCGGGGACCTATAGCCCGTTCTCGGCACATTGTAGGACTCGCATCAGCCCCGTTCCCAGGGAGCAGAGTGAAGGCTCCTGTGACCTCCTCTGAAAGACACCCCGTGTTGCTGGTTCTGGGGCACAGGACCCTCACACCTCTGCTTCCCACCCCTCAGTGTCAGAGGCCAACCAGCCGGGGAGATTTAGAAACTAAAGCACAAATTCACACACATCATATACCCCACACCCCCACACACGCACACCCCCACACACTCACGCCTCCCCCCGCCCCCCACACACACCCCAGAGAACCTCACTTGCAGGACGCAGGTTGAGTCCTACACAAGGGGCCTGGCTGAGGGGGTTCGGAGCAGCTCACAGGTCCTGGGCAGGGCCGGGCCCCTGGGGGAGGAAGGCGCCTTCTTCTCATTTGCACAAAAACCAGGTCCCTACTCGCCTGGCCCTGCCTGCCCCCCACTACAGAACTCCCCCCACCTCTCTGGACTGTAGGACCTCAGGACCCTGCGGACACCTCTAGTCTTTTTCCTGGAAGTCCCTGTCCCCGTGTGGGGCACCCCCAACCCCTCCACTGCTCTGGACCTGGCTTAAGGCACAGTTGAGTTCTTCCCTCCTTGAGTCCCTCTGTCACTTATTACCTGGACCTCACTGTCACGGTTCACCTGTTTATCCCCCACATGCTTGTGTGGCACCTGCTGGGGCTGTCCCTGGGCTCAGTGCTGGAGAGGCTGCAGGGAAGAGGTTAAGCTCATAGTCAGTGGGCCGATGCCACCTACACGCCAGTGGTCACGCACAGTAAGCAGGGCCATGGTAGGAGCATGCTGGGAGCTGCAGGAGTCCAGAGCGGGGATCTGTAGGCCTGACTGGAGGAGCAGTCAAGGAGAACTTCCCAAAGGAAGTGACCCTCAGTGAATTGCACCTCTGGTTTATATCTCCGACCGCTGTCCATGGTCCAGAGACTGGGCTTGGGTCCACACCAGCCAGCCAAGATCGTCCAAACCTCAGCCCATCTGCACACTCGTGACGAGATCATGAACATGTGCTGTAGGCCCCTGCATTTCAGGCTGGTTGGTTCCAGTTACGTGGCAGTAGTTAGCGACGGGCCCCGAGTACTCTTTCCTTCCCTGGCCATGTGCCTCCTCCTCGGCCCCGGCGCTTCTTCTTTTCCTCAGAGCCCAGCCCATGGCAGAGCGTGCTCCTGGCCCTGGTCCGTGATCCTCCTCCCATCCATTTGTGTGCCTCTGGGGGCCGTGTCCCGTATGTTATTCCAGGTCAGCGGGGGGCCGAAAGCCCTGGCCTGAGCCTGTGCTTGTCCCCGGAAGCCACTGGGTAGATTTAGGGGACACAGAAGGGCAGGGGGACTTGGGCACAAAGGCAGCCACGGGTACTGGAGGCCAGGATCCTGGGTCCTCATCCTGGTCCCCACACACACCCACAGGGACTGTGGCAGCAAGTCAAGGCTTGGCCTTTGTGCCTACCGGTCACATGACATGGGTTTGTCACTGCTTCTCTGAGCCTGTTTCCTCTATCTTTAAAATGGAGTAAAAAATATCTGTCACCTGGCAGGGCTGATGTGAGGATCAAACAAGATACATTTGAAAAATGTAGAGTGTCATTCAAGCAGATGGTACGGTTCGCTAAACCTCAGTTTCTTCAGATGTAAAATGGGTAGAAGAATTTTATTTACTTCCTTCCCAGGGCTCTGGCAAGAAAATGTGTGTGAAAGGGCTGTGGGAAGGAGTCAGTGCTGTGTGATGGCTTCGGCTCTCTGGGCCGGAGTGTCCTTGGCCGGCAAACAGCTGCTCACCTTGTTCCCGGCTGTCTGGCTGGCAGCCAGTCTGGGGCAGAAGCAGCGACTCCATCTGCTTCCAGAGTGAGCCAACTGCTTCTTCGGAAGGCGGCAGCACGACCTGCCCCTTTGATCACCCCCAACCACTGTCTCCTGCCCTGGGTCGCCCCGAGATCAGGTGGGTGGCAGGGAAAGACTGGATTCCTTTCTTGGTCAGGTGCGATGTCCACGCAGGGCTGACATACTCACGAGGCAGGGCACGACGTGCTTTTAGGGGCCCAGAAAATGTTTTCATCTCTTTTAAAATCAGAATCGAGACGTGAACTTCTATGTTGAAGAAAATGTTTTAATAAGTAATATTGATAGATTTGTCTTCATACTAATGTACTTACATCATACAAACTTTATATTAAGGAGAGAGGGCCTACAAAGGCATAAATGCCCAGGGCCCATGGAAGTGGTAACACTGCCCCGAATCCGTGGTGTAGATTCTCTCCCACGCTCAGGACCCTTCCCCACTGCGCATGTGCGGGCCAGCCTCGGTTCAGCGGGGAGGGCAAATCCCAATACCGCACATCGAGGAGCGAAGCACCGCAATGTGGCCACTGTTCCCAGGCATTAATTCTGCGTTACTGCAACAGCTCTTCGTGGCTATGTTCCTGGAGTGGTGGGTGGTGGCCTCAACCATCTTTTCTCCCACATCCCACAGAGGGCCTGGCACACGTAAGAAGGCCCCCTAAGGCCAAAATTCTGAAAATATTGGTGTCTATGTGTGTGCTCTTTGAGTGTGTAGTTTGGAAAAGTTCCCAGGCTACTCAGATATTGACCCCACCCTTGAGATGCCCTGCTGGGAGGGTCTTCCTCATCTCCCACCCACCTCGAGAACCACTGGCCTGAAGGAATTCCAACAGGACGGTTTGCAGATACAACAAGGAAGCCTTTTACATAACAGCCCTGAACTTTGCAACATCACTCCTTCTCCTCACCCCACCGAAATCCCTTGAATTGAGGTATTTCGTCATGCTTCTACTTTCCACTGACCCAGAGGGAAGACCATGCCGTCTGCCCATGGCGGTCTCAGCTGGCAGCTGGCTGCTCCTTCTGTCTCGCTGGCGTGACCGGCCAGCTCCCCGGGGCCCTGCTCAGAAGCAGAGAGAGGGGAGAGGCTGGGGACGTGCTCGCCTCTGGGCTAGGGGAAGGGGCACTTGGCTCTCTGGCCCCTGACACTTCCCCAGACCGGCCTTTGGCTCTGGGTCAGCCATGTCACCTCCCTGAGCCTGTTTTCTCATCCGTAAAATGGGAATCAAAAATACTCATCTGCTTATATTAAACCCACTGAGGCAGTAATGGAAGGCCCTGAAGCCACCGGGGAACTGCGGGAATGAAGTGTGACTATTCAGGCAGAAACACTTCTTCCTCTTTAACTGTCTCAATCCCTTCTTCTTCTGCTATATTTGCCTTGGGACTTAAAGGCCCTTACGAGTCGTATGTGTGTGTGTGTGTGTGTGCGCATGTGTGTGTGTGTGTGTGTGTGTGTGTTCTAGCATATTCATCCCAAATAGTCTTCTCTCTCCTATAGACCCCAGTGCAAATCTAACCCATCCTCAGAAGGACAAATAACATTAGCAGAGATGGTGGTGAAATGCAGGATTCAAACATTTATTATTTGGATGATGTATTTCACAGTTTTCAGTAATTTAGGACCTTCTGGAACCAGGACTAAATCGCCCAGAAAAATCTCTTCTGTCTTTTGGTGAATACTATTTGGTGAGATTTCCCTTCTCATTCTCTCTCCTACCTTCAAACATCTTTCATTCGGACCTCTGCCTTCTGTTCCTCCTTCGCGTTTCTGTGACAACATTTCTTGACAGTTATCTTAAATGTTTAATTAAACTGTTTTCTTCCTCTATCAACCTGTGCGCTTCTGGCTGTCTCTGCTCAGTGTCACGTGACTCGGTAATGGTCAATGACCACTCTCGACATGCCCTCACCAGGGCATGGTCACCTCCCTGAGGAGGTGAAAGCCTGGCAAGTTCCGCCAAGGGGGATTAGTTACCAGGAGGCAATGTCTCCAGTGTCTTACTATGGGGAGGGATTGTGCAAAACAAGGGACCTGTCATCACAGGAAAATAAATCACTGGGCCACTTTGGGCCCCTTTGATTAAAGATTGATTTGATCTGCCGGGACTGGACAGCCGCTTGCTGCAGACTTTTAGAAGCTGCTAGGCCCCAGTCTCAGTCTTCTTAAATTGCCAAATGCATGGCGACTTCCAAGGAAAGAGTAGGCTTGGGGTGGGGTGGCTAAACAGGCAGCACACCAGATCTTTGGTGTAATTTTCTGCAGGACTGGCTTAGTCCTCCCCCCTGGGACAGGTTGCAGTTCTCAGCTTGGGAGGCATAACTCTCTGTCACCCACGTCCTCCTAGGCTGCTCCTTCACAACCATCCCCAGGCCCTGGCCCCTGCTCTGGCTCCCCATGGAGGCCAAGCTGTGGGGAATCTTCTCATTAACTCATCCCGTGGGTAGAGGCTCTGAGGCCTCTGCCAGCACCAGCCGAGGCACAGAAGCCCTTGGGAAAGACTTCCTTGGCCGAACTCACAAAGAACACAGGTTCAGGGCATTTTGGTTTTTTTTTTTGGTGTTATTTATTTTTTAAACCCACTTGTAGTTAAGGTTCAGCTGGAAAGCAGGACATACCAAGGGAGGGAAGGTGGTCGCGTGAGCAGGATTCCGCGGCAGCTTTGGCGGGAAGCCCCAGGCCCCTGCTCCTGGGAGGTAGGTCCCGTCAGGCTCCCAGCCGTCTCAGGAGAGGCAGGCAGCCCTCCTGTGCAAGTGTTCCCAGCAGAGGAAAGTCGTCCTCTCTTGGATCTGTATCCTCACAGGCCCAGCCAGAGGTTTCCCAAAAGAGTGCCCAGGAGCTGAGGGCCAGGACTCCATGGGCAGGGCCCGAGAGTCTGTCATATGAGGAACACTGGCTGGTTCTGATGCCAGATAAGACTGGGTCTGGTGTCTGGGGCGGCCCCAGGGGGCTGCTCCTCATGGAGGCCTGGCTGTCTGGGCCCCCGCTCCTGCAGCGGCCCTGGGCGTGATCAGTGGTACATTTCCCACACTCCCTCCCCATCCCCTCGAGAAAATAAAATAAAAATTAGAATAAATACCGACTCGGTCAACATTTACATTTACATGGATGAACAGGACAATCCCCAAACCGTGAAGGTTTACAGACTGGTTAAGGAAGGACGAACAGACGAAACTGGGTTTGGAGGTGCACACTCCTCATGGCGGATGGTGGGACTCCCACCTCGTCCAGGGGAGGGTAGGAGCCTTCTCGGGGCTGCGGGCCCAGATCTTAGGCAGAGCCACGAGGCCGAGGGAGCAGGGCTGTGGCGAGCAGACTGGCCACCTAAGAGGAAAACAGTGACTACCTCGTCTTGGCTGGCACGGGAGAGATGGAGACGGGACTAACGTCGGACGGCCGGACTTTGCCTCCTTGTTGTGCTGGGAAAGCCACGGGCCCGTGGGGAACACAACGCAAGCCTTAGAAATGCAATATCCAGTTTTGCCTCCCATCAAATACATTCAGAGGTCAACTCGGATATGGCCTTCCTCACTCGGCAGAGGGCAGGGGGACGGGTCTGTGGGATAGCCCACTTCTGCCCCCCACTTCCTGTCTGAGTCGTCTCCAGTGGGAAGCTGCCTCAGAGTGTCAGATTTTAGGCTTTACCGTTATTTCCTTAAAAAAAAAAAAACAAAAAAACAAAAACAACAAACCCAATTCTTTTTTAAACGTTTTCCTTGCAGCAACCTGCATTTAGAAAAACAGCTTAAATTGTTTTTTGGATTGGTCAGGAAGTACTTTCAAGCAATGGAATAAACTAGGCAAACCATATGTTTGGAGCCACCGTGACACGACACGTAATTAAAAATATATTTATATATGTATACATATTTATATCTCACTTTTTCACACTCTGGTCCTAACAGTCAAGGAGGGATTGGCCCAGAGGCAAGACCCCAGTAAGGGCCGCTGAGAGGCAGGGGCACGAGGCCCTTGGTGCCCACGATGCTACCTGTCTCGGCGTTCTAGGGAACGTCGGTCCCTGTACACACAGTGTCTGGGGTCCCTGCACGAAGCTCGCTCTCTGACCCGGGGGTGGGGGAGGACCCCACTCTCCTGCCTCCTTACGTTGCCGCTCCTAGGCCTCTCCCTTCCTCGGGGCCCAGCTTTGTTCTCACATGCACTCACACACGCACACGCACACGCACACGCACACACACCCCACTTGAGGGGAGCAAGGCCATTCGGCACGGGTGCGCCTTGCTGAGGACTGAGGACCAGCCGTGTGGCTGCTCGCCGGGCCGCGGCCACCTGACTCCTCGAGACCACGATTCCCCAAGTGCCCTCTCTGAACCTCCTCACATCAGTCTGGCTCTTCCCTCAAGGCCTCCTGCGCGGCCTCTGGAGTCCCTGGTAGAGGGTGTCAGCTGAGGACGAAAGGCGCCGAGGAGAAGCTTGAGAAAGCTTGGGAAGAAGGGAGAAGGTAAAGCCTGGGGCCAGGGTAGCACGGGCTTCTTGGCAGAGAACTGACCTGTCTTAAGTAAACCTGGGCCTCCCACAGCCTCTTTTTTTGGGGACTGGCACAGGCTCCCATCTTGGGACTGGAAGGGAGGTTGTAGCTGGTGAAAAAGCCAGGGGTCCTGGGGAACCTGCTCCCCACCCTACCCTGCCTGCTCTTCCAGACTCGAGGTCAACAAGGGGAAAAAGGGGAAACCCCCTCCAGCCCTCACCTCCTGGCCAGTCTGACTGGACTGCGCAGCCAGGCAGCCTCTGGTGACCCACGGCGTCAATGGTCTTGGTAAAGGAGTAAATTAAGAAGCTGCTGGGCTAAGGTCATTTTCTGGGGGCTCATCAAAGTGAGAGCTCCAGAACCCGGAGATGGGGCTGTGCAGATGCCAGTGACAACATCCCAGAGCCCGACCCCGACCCTCCTCCAACAGAGAAGGGGCTTCTTCCCAGGACCTGGCACCTCCAAGAAGCTCCAGCCTTGTTCCCAGTTTGGAAAGCTCCGTCTGGCAGCCCTGCCTGGTCCCCTGCCTGTCCTGCTCATGACTCCGTGAACGATCCTGTTCCCAACAGCCCTGGGGATACTGTGCACCCCTGGAGCACACAGATCGCTGTGGAAGGGCTGGGCTCCTGGATCCTGCCTGTGATGAGGCTAGGCCAGTGACACAACCCAATGAGCTAAACTCCACGTCCTAGGGAGCCAGACGACCCCCGTCCCCACCCTCAGAGCTTGGGACACGACCTGTGTGTGGAGCGAGAAACATCCCCTGGTGTTTTGGTTTTAATTTGCCAGGCTGTTCTGTGCCTAGCTCACCACAAGGCCCTGGGCTGGGACAGGTAATGCACTCCCAGCGGCAACCTAGCAGCCCTTTGAGAGAGCGGAGTCAGCATAAGAGAAGGGAGGTGCTGGAAGCCGGGGGCTGGGAGCACAGGTTCCAGCCGGGACCCCCGCCGGGGCAGAAGTTTCCAATTACCCTAATTGGCTACTGGCACGCTGTATCTGGCTAGAATCCTTCCAGAGGGGGCCGGGTTTGATCTCCCACTAATCAGGGGGTCCTCCTCGCTGTCTGTGTGATCGCATCACAGGCTCTTTTCATTGAGAGAGGAGACTTCAAAGCAGCTGACTTTTGAAAAATAAAACACAATAAAACAAAAGAGTGCAAGTAGAACTGCAAACTCTAGCTCCCCTGCCTGCTCCCGGCCCCTGGGCCTGAGGCTCGGGGGGTCCCGGAGAAGGACTTGGAAGCTGGGGGTGGGGTGGGGGGCGGAGCGTGAAGGCTTGAGGAGAACGAAGGCCTCTGTCCCCCAGCTCCGCCGAGTAGACAAAGGCCTTCAATTATGGGCGGCTGGTGGGGACCGTGCCTGCCTTTGTCCTCCCGGACATCTGCTACATGTCGCCTGCTGCCAGTTGGCGACTATGGCTGACAGCATGAGGGAACAATGCAAGCCCGTCTTCGACCCACTTTTTCAGCCTTCTGAGGTCCTTTCTGACCCAAGCGGTACCCTGGCGTGCCGGGCTGCCCGGCCTCGGGGGAGGAGTCACAGAGATGAAACCCCTTGTACAAAGCCCTGCAGGGGACACGTCTGATGGGAGGGGGCAGGAGGAGCGGGAGTGAGGAGGGGCGAGGGCCAGGCCACCATGAAAAAGAAACATGCTTCCCTTACTGGTGAAGCTGCCGCATGCTGGGGCTGGGGGAGCTCGGTTAGGGGGGGCCTCAGTTTGGGGGGGGCGCTCCTAGGGATTTGATCCCTTCCCCGCTTGGCTCCAGACTGGCCGCCGGCTCTGCCTGCCTTCCTCCCCATTTCTGTCTCCTGCCAGGGCCACCCCTGTCCTCCCGCCTGTCCATCTGGCCCTGTGTGCCAGGGCCCCAGCTGCCCTCAGGCCGCCTGCCAGGCCCCTTGGCTGTCAGGCTGTCAGTTTCTGGATGGTTCTGTTGTAGTACTGTGTGATGGGGGGCGTCAGAGGGTTCCAGCTATTGGCATGGAGCTCGATGACCTCCAGGAGCAGTGACCGGGTCAGCATCGATTCCGAGGGGCACAGCATCTTGTCTCGGGCACTGGCCAGGAGCTCTGTCATCATCTCGGGCAGCTGCTCCTCCAGCAGCCGGCCTGTGCTCTGCAGCTGTGGGGAGAGAAGTGGGGGTTAGGACAGAACGTGACCCCACAGTGGTCCCCTGACCCACCTTGGTCGGGTGGGCTTGGGACAGGGATAGGAAATAGCCGGATTATCTCAGGAAGGTGCAGGCCCAGGCCTCGGTGCCATGGGGAGAAGGCCTAGGAGTGAGGGAGTGTGGAAATAGCCATCCGTGAGAGCCCACATTTAACGACCAATCTGCCAGTAGGAATAAGAGGGATCGGAATACTGCCTGCTGCCCAGGGCTGAAAAGGGCCCTCGCCAGGAACACACTGCGTCTCCCTTTCACCCAAGAGCTTCCCCTCCTACAAGAAGCCTTTCCTGACTACCACCCACACCCTCAATGGCTGTGTGACCCGCTCCCTTCAAAGGTGATTAGGCTGCGTGTTAATTTTCACTTGCTAGACATCTCTCCGGGAATGAGCTTATTCATTATGACTTGCGTGTGTCCATGTGGAACTTGAGAGCAGGATGGGTCTCCTATTTCTCTTTCCTTCCCTCCTGCCCCCTATCCTACCTCCCCACACCCAGCACTGACCTCTGCCCACACTTGTAACACAAAGGGGAGAGAAATACAAACTGGGGCAGAAGGCCAGCCAGAGGGCCGGCCCTCAAGAGAGGTCCTCGATAATCTAGAAAAGCCCCCGTTGGGAAGAGGGAGCCCCAGTCTTCTGGATCTGCGCACCCTTGGCCAGCAGCCCCTACTCCCACCTCAGCCCTACCCCCAGACCTATCTCATTGTTTTTAAGGCGCAACCTTCTTCACAAAACCTTGACGCCCGCCTTGACCTTCCCCCTGACTCCTCAGGGATCTGTGCTCTGTACCCACATTTATTCTCTGTACTGCTCCATCCGCGTGTGTGTGTATGTGTGTGTGATCTAGCCTAGTCAGACCAGAAGCTCTCTGTGGACGGAAACCATGCCTTCTCCTTCTCCCCTCTTTCCCCTGCCCCAAGCCCCATGTAAGATATCCAGCTGGAGCTCAACGGGTGGATGAAGTGACTGTCCCATACACTCACCCAGCACTTCTGGCCTCCGAGGTTCTTGGGTGTGGCCTTGCAGCCAGGCAGGAGCCCCCTGGAAGCTCCTCCCCTCACCGTACTCCACTCCAAATGACTCTGGGCTGTTTTCTAAGGGCAAAGCTTTGCCCCCTGACTAGGCCAGACCCAGTGTCTGAAGATCCCAGAGGAAGACTTTCATTGAGCAGTGGCTACACCTTGGGAATGGGAATGGCACCTCCCCAGGGGGCTGCTTTGGAGTGGACAGTGCCAACACAGGTTATTCAAGCCTCAGAAAACCTTTCCCCATCCCCATAGCACCAAAGCCCAGGGAGATATTTTCGGGCAGGGGGACCACCTGGAATCTCTTAAGTCATCTGCATGATGCGCCTGGTACAAGCAGAAGGTGGTCTTGGGAACAGAAGGAAAATGGACGATGCCAGGGCAGTTCCCTCCAGGGAGCCAGAAATCCTCTCTCCCTCTAGCCAGAGGTGGGCTGGTCTCCCATCAACATTCACTCTGGTTTGAGGCTGACCATTCTGGATGCAGAAGTCTATGTCTACTCAGAACGCTCACGACCGTGCACTGGGTCTGAGGTCGGGGATGTCCCGCGGTCCTGCTCACCTCCATCGAGCAGCACAAGACGGCGTCTTCCTTCACATCCTGAGACTGTAAGAGCTGTGGAAGAGAGGGGCAGAGAACACGACTTCGGGTACCAGCTCCCAGCGCCTAGAAGCCAGGCCCCCTGGCCCCAGCCCTAATGTAGCCTGGAACGAGCATCTCCAAGGGTCAGAGGGCAACAGGAACGCCGCACCTGGAAGCAGTGATTTCTCTACCGGATCTGAGCTGCTGGAGAAAGGCCGTGGTCATGGAGCCCAGGCATCCCGGCCAGGTCAGAGGCCTGGCAGAGCAAGGTCGCAGGTGTGTTTGAAGGCAGAGGCAAATATGCTGGGGTCATCAGCTGTTAACAACTAGTCGGCAAAAATCCTCAGAGAAATGAAATGAGCTTAAACACTTCCTGATTGGTGAGGGGAGGCTCAGCCATGGTCTCAGGTGATCCTGAGCCCTGGCTATAGGAGGACTTTCAGAAATCAAAGCTCTTTTCTGCAAAACCACGGCCGATTTGACTTACCTAGAGGCTGGAATGGCTTCCTGACCGAGGCCATGGCCAGGCTGCTCAGAGCCGGGACTGGCCAGGGCCCCGTCCAGGCTTCCTTCTACCTGCCTCATCTCATTCTTCTTTCTCTCCTCCCTCCCTGGGATAAACTGAGATATACTTCATATAACATCAAATTCACTATTTTAAAGTATACAAGTCAGTGACTTTTAGGATATTCACAAGGTTGTGTAGCCGCCACCACCATCTAATTCCAGAATATCTTCATTCCCCTCGGGAGAGACCCATACTTACTAGCAGTTACTTCTCGCTCCCCCGCCCCCTGGCAGCCGCTAATCTCCTTTGTTTCTATGGATTTGCCTATTCTGGACATTTCGTAGAAATGGAATCATACAAATGGAATCACATATGGCCTTTTGCGACTGGCTTCTTCCACTCAGAACATAACGTTGTGAAAGTTCATCCGTGTCGTAAGCAGGAATTAGTTCTTCATTCCTTTTCACTGCTGAATAAGATTTCATTTTTCCACCCCGTTTTGTTGATCTCTTCGGCAGTTCGTAGACATTTGGGTTGTTTCTACTTTTTGGCTATTATGAATAATGCCGAGATGGACGTTTGTGTGCAAGTGTTTGTGGGGACACGGTTTTCAGTTCTCTTAGGTATACACCCAGGGGCGGCACTGCTGGGTCACATGGCAACTCCATGTTTCGCTCTCTGAGGACCTGACACACTTACAGAAGCTGCACCGTTTTACATTCCCTCCAGCAACGTCTGAAGGTTCTGCTTTTCCCACATCTTTGTCAACATTTGTTATTTTCCTCTTTGTTTTCTAAATTCATTTTTTCCCTTGAACTCGCAGTAGAAACTTTTTCCAGGCACGGCTTGAGCAGCTCCACCATCATCCTCTCAAGCCCCGCCGAGCACTTCTTGCACTGCGGGCTAGTGCTTCTCCTCCCAACCCCGAAATACGCCTCCGTCCCACCTGTACCTGCTCCCCCACTATAGCGACCAGCACATCCATCCTCTAGATCACCTGCTCTAGACTGGGTGACTCTTCTATCTACTAGAACCTTCTGTCTCGGCCCCCCACTCTTCTCTATCCTTCAAGGCCCAGGTCACTTCCCAGCTTTCCTTGGAGACTTCTAGATCACCCCAGTCCACGGTGCCCTGTCCTGCTTCTCACTCCCCGAGGACTCTGTCTTTTCCGCCCACTCAGCATTCCACACCAGGGAAAAGATATTTTCCAGTCTGAACTGCCAGCTTCCTGCAGGCAGGAACGGTGCCACACTCATCTTTGCTGCCCTGTAACACCTAGCCCAGCTCCTGGCAACGGTAAGGATTTGCTCAGTGTTGGTCGATATGCTTTATGTGTTTGTTTTGTTTTTTGTTTTAAAGGAAGGGTGGGGAGAAGGGAGGACACGAGACGAAGGCATTTTTAGGGTGAGCATCCTTATCCACTGACGGAGAACTGGAGTCAAGGTTTTCGACCCAGGCCTGACATGTCCAAGCAGAGGTAAAATTACACACAACCCAGGGGGGCTGTTTCCACTGCTGGCTTGAAATCCAAATTTTGCACATTCTCCTTGCCTCTTCCCTTCTGTCATGTTACATCCATGCACCCAGCCTTCCCCACCTCCCCCCAGCAGGAGCCACAAGCATTTGCTTCAAGAGGGCTAGAGATATATGCTCTGTGAGTGCGTAGGACATCAAGGCTGCCGGACTCCAGGGGACAGGTCAGGCCTGGCTTCACTGACCAGAGACACTCTGTCTCTCCTTCCTCTTTATAACTTGGTCAGAACTGGGTGGAGACCTGGGCTCAGCAGATATGCAGAAAAGAAACCATTTTGGAATGAATGAGTAGAGGTAGGCCTTGAACCGCTGAAATAACAGGTGGAGAACGAGCGACAATCCAGCGGAGGGAATGGCATGGGCAGTGCGCAGTGAAGTTGCTGACGGCCATTAGTGTGCAGGGGTTCTCAGCCACCGCATGTCTGCAGACCTTCCTCCTCCATTTCATTCAGGGCTCTGCCCAATATCACCTCATCAGCCACTGCTTCCCTGGCCAGACTGTGGCAATTGATCAGCCTCATCCATCGCCTGCTTTACTTCTAAATCTCACCCCTGACATATCATCTACTTGTCTGTCTACTGTCTGTCTCCGCCCACTAGAAGGGAAGCTCCACACGGGCAGGGCCTCAGTTTTGTCCACTGCTCTCCCCGGTGCTGGACACAGTGCCTGGCACGCAGTAGGCACTCGGAAATATGTGTTAACAATATGCTTTGGGAGGCAGGGAGAAAACCCACCCAGAAGGAGAGTCCGCAAGCGAGAAAGGCTCACCCCGAGAGGCCGCTCATCTGCAGCTCGCCTTGGTGCACACACTTGAAAAGGCGAGAATGAGAAGGATGTGAAATCCCGACTCCACACACCCCTCCTACCAGGGCAGACATGGCGCAAATTATAAGTGATGAGTCTGCAAGCCTGCAGTGCTTGTGGAAACAGAAGTTGGTATAATTCTCTAGGTGGCAATTTAGTGATAACTATCAGCATTGCGAGTGTACAAACCCTCTGACCCAGTGATAGCACGTGCAGGAGTTTCTCCTATGCACATGCGCTAGGACATGAATCGCTGCACGATTGTTAAGAGTAAAAGATTGCAAATAACTTGAATGAGCGCTAACAAGCGGACTGGTTAAAAAATTACAATACGTCACAGTGGGGATACTCTGCAGCACATGGCTGTTCCTCCTCAGCTACGTGGGCGTCAGCTTCTGGAGCTTTCCTGCCTCCCAGGGTTGCAGAAAGCCAAGGGAGGCTTCCACCAAGCCAGTGCCTGGGGGTTGGAGGGGCTCTAGGGGACACCCAGAGAAGGGGCTCCCTCATCTAGGAAGTCAAGAACGAAGACCAGGAAGTGGGTTCTGGAAAAAGTTGCAGGGAGGTGACTCACGTGGCAGCAGGCTTACCTGGGTCCAGCATCCAACCCAGCCTGCTCTGGGAGGGGCTGGTTCACAGACTGGGAGGTGCCCTGTGACTGCCTGGGATGGGGCCAGGGGTGGGGT